ACTTGCTACTTTGCAAATTTATTACAAATTTTTACATACGCATACGATTTATTGTCTGAGCAGGCGGCGGGCGGTCTCCGGGGCGGATTTCTATTATGGCTGTCTTTGGTACAGTTTGGGGCTTTGTGCTTTAAAGCCGGCTCATAAAATGGCTGGCATACACACACACACACACACACACGGAGTAAAGAGAGGAGATACTTAAAGTACATATAGATATATATACATTTATGTGTATGTACATTTGCCATTCATGCGTTTTAAGCGCCTCGTTTACAGCTGCCACGCGGTCGCACTTTGAAGAGAGCCGCAAGAAATTCAATTATGCGGCTGCCATATAAACCACAGCCCGCGAGCAACCAACCAAGCAGCCAAACACAAGCCTCAAGCCTTGTGGCAAGCAACCCATGTGCTTTAGCACTTCTTCTTTTCAGTCTTAAGCTTGACTAATAAACTTTGACAGGACGCGTCAGAAAACTAGCGGCTTGTGTGGCATAAACTGTGCCATTCAACTGTGCAGCGCGAAATGTTGCGCAACATTGGTGGCGGCTGCAAAGTTTGTTGCACGCCCGCATAAATAACACTATGCAACAAACCTTTTTCGTGCCTAATTTATATGCAACAACAAACGACCAACTGGCAAGCACACAAAAGTTCTGCGTCATGCAATGTTTTCGCCGAAATGTATGCAACATAACGTCGCACATTGGAGCCGCTTATGCTCATAACTTTTTGTTCGAAAACATAAAATAATAAAAATAATAAAAACAAGAATTAAAGAGTGTGTCTTCATCTTGTCATAATATATTTGTTATCTCTGTTGCTAGCAAACAAAATTCAAATCGAATATTTTAAAACATTACTGCCTCGGCAACAGGATAATACTTTGGGGCTAAGAGTACTTAAAAATTGTTAGCTTCATGTTGAGTGCAAGGTTTAGTGAATGGAAAATACGTAAAGAAATGTATCGTAGTTTTTTAAAATGACGGGAACTAGTGACTGCTGTTGGTTTTTTATTTTTTGCAAATAATATATATATTGTTTGCTATTTGTTAGCCTAAAATGTAAAACCTATTTTCCTATTAACAACATTTCAAACTACCTTCGACTTGACGATTTTTTTTATGAAATTCGTTTTACCAAATCAAGACAGTCGGATTAAAAATCACTTAAATGAAAACATTTAAATTTAAAATTTAACACCTATTTCCCTATTAACAATATTTAACAAAATTTACATCCGCCTTCAATTCGACTTAAATTAAAATAAAATTCAAATTCGTTTTTCCAAACTTGACAGTATATTTTTTGAATATCCCTTAGTTAAAGAAGTACAGTTATGTTCCTAAAATGTCTAAAAGAATTAAGGATTAATTGTTGATAAATATTATTACTAAATAATACTCCAGCCTATTGCATTTTAAAATCTGGAACCTGGGAAAAAAGGTGACGAACTAAGAAATATTTATGAGCAGTCCATAAAGCCGTTGCCAATAAAAATGTATGGCGAAATTGCCCAATTCTTTTCGCACGATATGTGTTTTACTGTTATGTTTATCTTCTCTTATTTATTTATTGACCTATCCGCCTCATTAATCGAAGCTCCAAACATGATATATTTAGATGGCGACCATAATTTTCGTTTAGTTCCTGACCCAATGTCGTAATACGTATACGTAATACGTATTTTTGTGCCGACCCGAGTCAACCGGAAACGGAAATTTTGTGCTATGCGCAAATAAATCAACGAGCTGGGCGCGCAGGTTGCTTGTTCAGTTGGTTGCATGTGGGTGTACCGTGTGCCGCCTGGCAAATGTTGCACGAAATGCAAACAAGCTGAGTAAAAATTTCTTCATCATCAACGACATCAACATACCGAGGCATAGGAAGAAAAGGAGCCGGGTCGAGTCGAGTTGAGTCGAGCAGAGAAGTAAACGTTTAAAATGGAAAAAAGCATGCTTGATATTTTTGGCTGCTCCATTTATGCATGTTTTCCTTTAGCAGTTGTTTGTTTGTAGATGAGTGTGTGTGCGTATGCGGGTGGGTGTCTATGTGTGTTGGAGCTTTCTAAATATTTTGTTTTGCTAGTGTAAAAGTTCTACTAGTTTGCCGTGGCCGTGCTCAGGACCAGCCTCTTGCAGTGTGCTGCGCGCCCTCGAATTATTTGCATTTTCAATTCCAAGTTGCATACATTTGGTTGTGCAACCAGTCGTCGGGGCATGCACTGTCCTGCCCTCTTCCACATATACACACACATGCATATGCACATGCACATGCACAAGGACAGACAGAGGAGCTCACAAAAAGCTTTGCACATTCTGGGCTTGCCTAATAGGTTTTTGTTAATTTTAGGGATTTTGCCTTAAAAGGCGCTCAAAGGTTTTTTTTTTACACATGTTGCCGTTGCTAAACACTGTGGTACTTGGCTGCTTATGTATGTGAGAGAGTACATACTTGTATATACAACTTGTTATAGTTGTAATGTACTGCTTGAAGCTTTAGAAAAAGGACTGCACGGAAGTTGTAGTCGTGTGTGGAAGGGAAATTGTATAAGCCTTATAATAAATGCTACGAAAAATGTGATAAAATCTAAAGGGGGAAAAAGACATGCCGCAAAGGATTTACTAGCAGCAGAGGGGGCAGCAACATCGGTAAAGTTGTTACATAACATTTAGTTTGCTGGTAACTTTTACTTGAGCCGGTGGCCGAAGTCAGGCAAGTTTAAACATTTATGTTGCTATTATTACACTCTGCCGGCAAAGCTTAACTAGGCGGTTCTGTGTGACACCTACTCGTACAAAAGAAAGTGGCAGAGATCGCATTGGTAGGTTCTAACTGCAGTTCTCAGTCGATCTAGAAATATATATGTATTTGGTTAGCAAGATATCCAACAAATTGAAATTCAACCAAATTAAATTGAAAACAAGCGGATGCTATATTTAAATGATAGCACAGGGTATCTATCTAATACTCAAGTGCGTGGGTCTTTAGCTCTCTATTTTGTTATTGTTTTTGCTCAGTTTATTGCTCGCAACCGTTAATGAGCTCCATTGGTGCGGCAAAGAAAACACACACAGCCACATGCAGCCATTTACAAACACACTAAGGCGGCGGCAGGAGAAAACAATGCAAATGAAGATATGTGATGTGTGGAGCAACAGAATATCCTTGGCAAGGATTACAACAATGGTAGCATTGTAATGCCAGCAGCTGCTTTGTATGTTTGTCAGCCAAAATCTTAAAACAACGGCAGTTGTGGCAATAACAACAACATCAACGTGAACGACAACAACAGGCACTGGCAATTTTTGCATATGGCGTATACGCAGCGTTGCCAACGCATCCTTCCCATCCTGTGAAGGCAGGGGCCTTGGTAGCCTCTTTGTTACTTCATTTGTTCAGTTTGTGTGCATTTCGGTTTCTTCATTTTATTTGTGCCACTTTTGGTTTTCCTTCTTCTATGGTTTCGCCTCCTGCCGGAGACGTCCTTGTGTCATCGTCGTCTCCGTCCTCGCCCTCGTAGCTGTTGTTGTTCGCACATTGTAAGCTGTGTTCGCTTGACAAAGCAAATACAATAAATGAACGCCGAGGGATTCCGTATGCATTTATAAATGCATGCACATTCAAATAAGTTTTCTTTATTACTGTCACAGAGCGCAAGATATAGTTGCCAAAGGAGTCCAAACTTTTACGGCATCCCTTCGAAATGTCCTTTTGTTATCTGCAACTCCTCTTCGTCTGCACAATATTCGCTGCAACGATACTTCATTCTTATTTTGTTTTCACTTTCTCTCTTTTTTTTCATAGTATTTTTTATGCATGAGCGCTGCGAGTTTTCACCGTTTTCACCTTTCGGCAGAAGCGTGTGCTCCGGAAAATGTCAGTGGCTGCCATTTGCAAAATATTCTAAAGGGCAATACGATAACGTTCAGTTGAAGCCATGCTGTTGGCTGTTTGGTCATTGCTTTGCTAAATTTTTAATTAACTTGTCCGAAATGGAAATCAAATGCTGCAGCTGCTAGCATTAGGCTAACAAACATTTTCCAATTACGCAAAATCTTTAAAGAGTGTCCAATGAAGAGTGAACCTTTTTCCAGCTCAGTAAATATTGCATACTATTCAAATGTGCAGTAATATTTATATGACATTTGTTTCATTTAGTTCAGCAAGTTTAGTTAAATTGGCTTAAAATATTTTTAAAATTTTTGGGCTTTGGGACTTTTCTAGGAATATTTACATTTTACAACATATTAAAAATTGTATACACAATTGATTTTTAAACTTTTAATTGTTGCTGACTGTGTCAGACCTTGTCTTCATAACAGTTTTAGCAAAAACAAACAAACAAACAACAAAATTATGAATTCAATAGCCCCAAAACCAATAATCTCATGATGGATGATATTTATGACCGTTTACAAAATTAGGTATTGTACTATAAAATTAAACAGTTTCTTTTTTAAATATAAATTTACCGCAAATGGTCTGGCTTTCGGACTCAGTCGTTGGTTTCTCATGTCTCTGAGATTTTTAGAACTGGAAATATTATACTATATACACTTTAGATATATAAAGCTTTTAAAGGTCAAAAAATGTCTAATCGATTTTATAGGATTGATATTGGATATTTATATAATTTACAAAACATTTTCAATACCTTTCATGTTGTCAGATTTTAATATATATTTTTTCACAGATTACTAATTAGTCTAAATTACAGTATATTAGATCAAAATATGAACTCTAAATTCCTAAATTTTAATATATATTTTTTCACTGATTACTAATTAGTCTTAATTACAGTATATTAGATCAAAATATGAACTCTAAATTCCTAAATTCCTAAAATGTTGTAAAATTTTGTACGGAACTTTGTTTTGTAAAGGTGCTTTGTACAATTTTTAAAACCGTATAAATGCTTTATTTTGAAGTATTTAAAATGGTAAAACATATTTTTAATAATATTGTTATTAATAATTAATTATTTGTATTTCTTGCAGCCTCATTCAACGTCCCACCCATCCTGCGCCCATCATCAACTGCCGCATGATAAATGGAGCTGGAAAACATGTGCGCGATGCCTCACCAGCGCCAGATCATCGTTCAGAGGCGCGACTGCGCATCGATCCCAAGGTGCTTGTCTTTGTGGAGACCACCTATTCTGGTCTGGGGCGCGACATAGCGGAGCTGCTCGTCTACAACCGCATCAAGTAAGTGTACGAGAATAAACGACAATTAGTCCAGTTCAAACGCAAGGGGCACACGAAGCAAATGCCAACAGAGAACAGACAAATTTGCATAATTAGAGCGGCGTCCGGGCGACGTTCTATGCAATTATTGCGCCCCAAAGTAACTCGAAACGGAAGTGCAAGAGAAACCGACTCCAGCCAGAAAATAGATTGCACATTGCCAAGTGTCTGTGTCTGTGTCTCTGAATGTGACTGTGACTATGACTGTTCCTCTGCCTTTTTGCCTTTTAACCGACTGCCTGCCAGCCAGTCTGACTATCAACCACCCAGCCTGCCTGCCTGCCTGGCTGCCTTTTGCCTGGCCATTGTCAATGTTGACCCAATTTTTATGTGAATCTAAAAAAAAATATAGCAAGCCAGAAAAACGCTATGAAATTAATGTGGCTTGGCCGCCTGTCGACGGCGTCTGCCAGCAAAGCATTCGAGTTTAATTGGCAACTTATGCTTTTGTGGTCGAGTCGACGACGAGTCTCTGAGTCTCCGAGTCGAGTGCCTGCCGTTTACTCAAGCGGAAGTTGAGGCCCGGACTGTGTCTCACCTGTCACGCTGCCTGGCATTAAATTAAAGCGAAGCTCGCCCACAAACGGCTACAAGCACTTGAATAGCAACATTTAGCTTTGCAGGAATACCTCATAACTGAGAAAAAGCCTTTTGAAATACATTTTAATATGCATACACTCGTATAAGAACGAAGACAGTAGAGCGTGAATATCCTTTGAAACTGATAATGTTATATGAACACTGATTTAGATTCCTTCACTATTTTTATTTTTATTATTGAGTTAGCTATTCAATTATTTTTGAAAAAATGTCAAAATATTTTACATAAAATGGTTTTCAATTAAATACCTATTAAAAAAGATGAAACGGAATTTAATTTTCTGCTTATTGACATTCTCAAATTGTGTTTGCGAAATATAAACATATATTATTAGGGAAAAAAATGTTCAAAATGTACTCGTATAAAATATTTAATTGCCAATAATACAGAATCAACATATATATAATATATCATGCCACCATACTTAGTTTGTAAGCTTACACCAAACACGAGGGAGAGAGAGCTCCTTTGACGGAATCGTTGCATATCTGCTGGAATATTTTCTTTGCTGATAAGCAACTATTCAGAAACTATCAAGTATGGTTTGTCGCTCGAAAAAACAAATTAGTTACCAATATTTGGCGTCAAAATACTATTTTGAAAATAGTCATAAAGAATATTGGATTATATATATAGATTATAAAGAATATATTTATATTGGATGAATATTACAATATGTAACACTGGCAGTTACTTTATGGAGATTAAAAAAGTTCAGCTTCAGTTGAATGCATCTATTTAAAAGACTGTTACTGTATTAAAAAGAAAAAAAATATAGAACATGGCTGCATTTTGCGCTCTTTGCTCGCCCCATGCAGACACAAAAGACTTTTCTTAGCTAAGTTTGCTTTGCTGGAGGGCAAGAGGCTGGCTAACTGGCTAGCTGACTGGTCGAGTGGCATGTGCCTTTCTCACCTGCTGCTCTCCTTTGGCATCCTGGCATGCTTGTAACCGCAATGACCGCAAGGTGCTGGCTGCTGTGGCTCCTCCTGCAGCTGAAACCGCAATTATTAGTGAACGGTTACGGCTGCTTCTTGGCGTGTTAAATTTTCAATAGAACGCCTTTTAATTTTTTTGTTATTTAGGTTATACGCCATACATTAGATGTGTGCGCGTGCAGCAAAATACAGCTTCAATCACGAACACAATATTTTTTCTTTGTACCATTCACGAAAATCGAGTTATTTTTTACCTTTGTTGAAGTATTTGAACTTTTATTTTTGAGAATTTTAATATCTGGCCGATTTATAATCAATAACTTTTCAGGTGTTGTGGTTTTAAAGAACGCCACGATATACATAGTATAGTAGAATTGAAACTTAATCAAAATACTGTAGTATTGGAATGATGTGGCGATTTAATGAAGTTGTTTTATAGAATCTGAAAACATATTAGCGCGTTTGAAATGAGTGGATCACCTTATCTTGTAACAAGTAATAAAATTGTTATGTATAAATATGTTGTTAATTTTTTAAATTCATATAAATTGACTGGCATTGGTTATTTTTGTAATCTTATATTTATAATTTACACCTCTGAAAAATAATATACATAACCGATGGTTTGTAAAAAGTACACTTCTGTGTTAGTTTGGAAATATTGAAACTATGTTATTTAAATGTAAATCTTTAAATGTTACCTTGACGTCATTGAAATTCTCTTTATAAGTACGATTTCTCCGAAACTTTCTGAAACTCTCTGGTTCTGTAATTTGCTGGCACATTGAGAATTTTCACGAAATTGTTAATATTGTTTCATCGTGACTAACGTTATATTCACGAAATTCACGTATGTGTTTGTGTTTTGGTTTTTTTTTTGACACATCTCTACTTCACACTTTTACATGAAAAATGAAGCATATGCCGTGTGTGTGTGTGTGTGTGTGTGTGCACGTGCCTGTGCTTGTGTGTGTAAATTGCGGTTATAAAGCTGCATTGCTGCCGGCTAAGAGTCAAAAGGCCAAAAAATTTCAATCTACAGCGTTTTGTTGCTTAAAGCACCCGCATATCGTACCTGCCCCCTTCCTCTCTCATCCTCTGTCTTCCTTGCATTGTTCTGTTTCTCAGCAGTTGCATCTTCTTATACTGATGCTGATGCGGCTGCTGCTGCTGCTGGCGTTCTGGTGCTTGCATTGTGTTATAATTAAATTTGGTCGTAATGCCATGCAAGCTCAGCTACTCAACGTAGGACTCTTGATGCCGCAGCTGCTGCTCCTCTCGCTGTTGGCACTGGAGTGCTTCCAAATTTAATGAGATTTCAAGTACAAATAGCAGCAGCAGTAGCAGCAGCAGTTGTCGTAGCAGAACAACAAAGTCGCTCTTCAGCTATGCAACTATCCAACTAATGTGCCATTGTCTCTGTTCGCGTTTGAACCAAATATGCAATCAACTTATGGTATACATAAGTATAGTCGTGTGTGCGGTGTGTGTGAATCCCTTTTGGCTGCACACAAAGCACATCTCATGCGCTTATCAATGACTTCATTAGTGTTACCCGAGTCGACAGGACCTCAAACCCGAATTTCGGGTTCTTTGCGGAGGGGTAGAGCTGGGAAAACTTAGCAACAGCAACAAATTTCATTAACATTGCCATCTCATTATTCCTGATGACTTTTGTCTATGTCTATTTAAGTGGGTGTATCTATGTACAAGTATATCCCTCTGTATGAGTGTGTGAGTGTGTGTGTGTGTATGTGATTGTGTATCTGTGCATGCATGAGCGAACTTTGTTGCATTGCCAGCAACGCTGTTTTGTCTATGTAGATACCGTTACTACACTAGTTGTAGAATAATGACAACAACATCAGTAACTTCATCAACAAAATGGCAACAACACGAGCAATTCACTCGACCTGCGCGCACTTGCCAGCAATTTCCATCATAAATGAATGAATGTGTGTGTGTGCGGCCGGATGTGGGTGCGGTGTAGTCTCGATAGTAATAGCTACACAGGATTGCCTAGCAATCCTCGCTATATATGTATGTATATATGCATATGCCTGCCTTTCTGTCTTATTCGCTAATTATCAATTATTTATGTCAGCGCGCTGTTCTTGACGTTATATTACGAGTATCTTCTCATAGTGCTCGTTTCAAATTGTTCCCTGGTTGCCACTCAATTAGCCATGAAAAATTCACTCTTTATGACTTTTGAGTGACACACTTGACGTATACGCAATATTAACATGATACAAGTATGTCTGCAAATGTTATGTCTGAGAACAATCAAAGTTAATTTAATTGGAAATGAAAGGCAAGGCATTAAACCTAATTGAATGTAAAGGACTGAATGTCAGAATTGTCAGAAGTAAATCAACAAATCATGTACATGTCTTAAAAAGGACAGATTATTTTAAATAGCGTTATTCAGAGTTGAAGAAGATGTTGAATTGTTTATTAAAAATGTAATTACATTGATGGACAAAATCAATGATGATATTATATTTACAAAATTCATAAATCGTAGATTTCATTTTATCGAATTTCTGAAACTGAAACACTAAACTGATATTTATTTAAAAGTCTTTCATTATTTTTAGGATTATAAACAAAATGGCTAATCAATTTGGTCAGTTATAATAGTTTCTGTTCTTTATCGGAAAACGGTACGAAGAATCCACAATACTCAACAGTATTAATTTGTTAAGTTTTTATATAGTTTTAAAAAGAGTTAGTATAGATTTCATTTTCAAAAAAAAAAAAACTTTGGAACAGAGAAGATCTGCGTTTGTTTTTGTGGCTGGTTTCGAAAAGGTTTTTCTTTATTATTATATATTCATATTAATATATGCAGCATTAAAAGCATTTGTGTCAACGTTAAAATAAATTGTGTACTAACTGCTTAACGAGCAGCTTAATGCTTTCATAATTCCTTTATGTTTGTGCCAATGAACATTGCTCCCACTAATCCCAAGTTATTTTCCTGCCAAAAGGTCTCTTGTCCTTGTCCAAGCATTACTTGCATATATTTATCATGCTTTGATGCCTACAGCTTTTCTATATATATTTATTTCCGCATTTCCTTTCACAAGCACAACGTTGCCCAATTAGCCTGCAAATCCCATTCGCTAGCCAATTGATTGATTGCCAAGTTTTGCGGCAAGCGCTCCAGCTCGCCAGCTCCACCACCCGTGCCTCCCACTTCCTCCCCCCACCCGCCATGAAACACTCAATTTTGTGCTGCTTGAGCAGCGCAGACAAATGGCATTTTCTTGTACAAATTACTGCCAGGCAAAAAAGTATGCAAAACTTTTCAAAGTTTGTACGCCCAGTCTACTCTGTACTGTGCGTTGAATGGTGCCTGAATTGCGTAGGAGTGGGCGGGGGGTTGTGGCAATCCACCAAAAGGAGAGGGACGAAAA